GCAGTTAACCCTTACATTGCTGTAGCCTGGGCTGTAAATGGGGGTATTAGCTGGGGCTGGGCAAAAAAATATTTGAATTATGTGAAAAATAATATTAAATGTTAAACAAATCTCCAACTTATTGGCTTCAGCATCGTGAAAGTTTCATCCCAATATTTTCAGAAATGGATTTTAGACAATTTTTTTTTTTTTTTTTTTTTTTGAGATATATACAAGAGTTCTTACATTCTTGTGCAGCCACTAGTACGCGTAGCGTTTCGGGCAGGTCCCTGGAATACGATCCCCTGCCGCGAAGAATCGTTTTTTCATCCAAGTACACATTTTACTGTTGTGTTAAACAGAGGCTACAGTTAAGGAATTGCGCCCAGTAAATCCTCCCCGGCCAGGATACGAACCCATGACAGCGCTCGCGGAACGCCAGGCGAGTGTCTTACCACTACACCACGAAGACTGTTTTAAAAGATCTTCACTGGTTCTATTCTGCACTTTCTTCCATATCGTTCATTCCAGTACATTGTTATTTTACTCTGTAGATTAGGGACCTGGCCTTACAGTATATTCCATGTGTATATTATTTGGTATCTCTCTCGTCTCCTTTCTAGAGAGTACATTTGGAGAGCTCTGAGACAATCCCAATAATTTAGGTGCTTTATCGCGTCTATGCGTGCGGTATATGTTCTCTGTATTCCCTCTATTTCAGTAATCTCTCCTGCTCTGAAGGGGGAAGTGAGTACTGAGCAGTACTCAAGACGGGACAAAACAAGTGACTTGAAGAGTACAACCTTTGTATGAGAACTCTGGATTTGAAAGTTCTCGTAATCCATCCTATCATTTTTCTGGCTGACGCAATATTTGCTTGGTTATGCTCCCTAAATTTATATCGTCGGACATCATTATTCCCAAATCTTTGACATGCTGTTTACCTATTATGGGCAGATTCGATTGTGTTTTGTACCCTGTATTATGTTTCAGGTCCTCATTTTTGCCATACCCGAGTACCTGGAATTTATCGCTGTTAAACATCATGTTATTTTCTGCTGCCCAATCAAAAACTTTGTTGATATCTGCTTGTAATTTTTCCATGTCTTCAGCAGCGGTAATTTTCATGCTGATTTGTGTGTCATCTACAAAGGATGACACGAAGCTGTGACTTGTATTTTTATCTATATCTGATATGAGAATAAGGAACAGCAGTGGTGCATGGACTGTACCTTGAGGTACAGAGCTTTTAACTGCGCTTGGACTTGATTTTATATGACTGACTGTTACTCTTTGTGTTCTGTTCGACAGGAAATTGAGTATCCAGCGTCCTACTTTACCAGTTATTCCCATTGACCTCATTTTGTGTGCAATCACTCCATGATCACATTTGTCGAATGCCTTTGCAAACTCTGTGTATACTTACTACATTTGCATTTTGCTTTTCTTCTAGAGCTTGTGATTTTGTCATAGTGATCGAGTAACTGTGACAAACAGGATCTTCCCACTTTAAATCCATGTTGTCCTGGGTTGTGTAACTCATTATTTTCCATAAAACTAGAAATCTGATTTCTAATCACTCTTTCAAAAACTTTTATTATGTGTGCACGTTTGGGCCAGTTAGGCCAGTTAGTGTAACTGGCCTATAATTTTTTGCCAAGGCTTTACTCCCCCTTCCCCCCTTGTACAAAGGAGCTATATCTGCAGATTTAAGTGCTGCTGGTATCTCCCCTGTATCTAGGCTCTTTCTCCATATTACGCTGAGCGCTCGCGCTACTGGTACTTTACATTTCTTTATGAATATTGAATTCCATGAGTCAGGCCCAGGAGCTAAGTACATGGGCATATTGTCAATTTCTCTTTCAAAGTCTTCTGAATTCGTGGTAATATCCGTTATATTATCTGCAGCTTGAATGTCATTCATAATGAAGCTGTCTGGGTCATCAACTTTCATGTTGTTTATTGGTGTGCTAAACATAGCCTTATACTGGCTTCTTAGAATTTCACTAATTTCTTTGGTTGTCCTCTGTGTACATACTTTCAGTTGTAATTAAAGGTCCAATACTGGTGTAGGTTTTATATTTTGATTTTGCATATGTGAAAAAATATTTTGGATTTTTCTTTATCTCTTTCTCTTTTCTTTATCTATTTAGGGGGCCTCGTAGCCTGGTGGATAGCGTGCAGGACTCGTAATTCTGTGGCGCGGGTTCGATTCCCGCACGAGGCAGAAACAAATGGGCAAAGTTTCTTTCACCCTGAATGCCCCTGTTACCTAGCAGTAAATAGGTACCTGGGAGTTAGTCAGCTGTCACGGGCTGCTTCCTGGGGGTGGAGGCCTGGTCGAGGACCGGGCCGCGGGGACACTAAAGCCCCGAAATCATCTCAAGATAACCTCAAGATAGATCTCTTGAATAGCTTTCTGTTCTAATTCCATTTACTCAGCCTCGTATGATCACTTCAACGTTTGTTCTATTTCTTCGATCTCCCTGTTTAGGTTTATTTTCCTTGCTTGTGATAGTCGTGTCTGCCTAAGCATTTCCGTTATTTTTTTCCTTCTCCTGTACAGTCGTCTGTGTTCTCTTTCTAGAGTGGTCCTCTTTCTGACCCTCCTCACAGGCACGTGCTTCAAGCAGACCTTGTAAGCTTCAGCTGTCAGTTGAACTATTCCCTGTGTGGGAGTTTTGTTGCTTAAGACCGTCTCCCATTGAATGGTTGCAAGGTCTACATTTATTTTTTCCCAGTTGATCCTCTTATTGTTGAAATTGAATTGATTGAATATTCCTTCTCACTTGTTGGGTCTCTTAGACCTACTACCGTTATTTATGCTAGTTCGCACATCAATGAGCTTATGGTCTGAGTATGTAGTATCAGAGATTGTAATGTCTCTGATTAGTTCATCATTGTTTGTGAATAGCAAGTCTAGTGTGTTTTCGTTCCTAGTTGGATCTGTGATCTGTTGATTGAGCGAGAATTTGTCACAATCTCAAAAGTTCTCTGACCTGTGGTTGGTTATTTCCCGGGTCATTCCCTGCTATGATATTTGTGTTTACCATTCTCCATCTTAGACTTGGTAAATTGAAATCTCCAATGAAGATAATATCTGGTGCTGGGTTCGCTAGATTATCAAGGATGTTCTCTATTTTGTGCATCTGCTCTGTGAATTCCTCAACCGTTGTATCTGGCGGTTTATATATTAGAATAATAATTAGGTTTAGTTTGTCTACCTTAATTCCAAGTACCTCTACCACCTCATTAGTTGAGTTTAGTAGCTCTGTGCATACCAGGTCCTTTTTAATATACAGACCTACTCCTCCATTTGACCTATTTTCTCTATCACATCTATATAAATTATAATTTGGAATCCAGATTTCACTATCCATGTAATCTTTCGTACAAGTTTCCATGAATGCCCCAAATATTAAGTTTGACTCTAAAAGGAGGCCATTTATGAACTTTACTTCATTTCTTGACTTTGATTTTAGACCTTGAATGTTTGCAAATATGAATGATTGTCTGTTTGTAAGTCAGTAAGTCTGTTTAATCATAATTAAACACATGCCAAGGCAAGCAAACCTTAAGCTTCTATAACAGATTTAATTATGTCTGGCAATGCAGCAGCAGCTGCCATGTCAGCACTTGCAGCTTCTCTCATCATTTTTATGATGTCATTTACTGAACTTGGCAAACTAGCCTTTACTGGCTCCAAGAGACCCAGCATCTGCCATGAAACTTTTTTTTTTAAGTGGTTGGTCGCAAGTTCATTCTTAACCTTTGCATGAATTACATTAGAATCTACAAGAACCAAATTTGAATTCATTTTTACCATCCACCCATATTGCTTACATCTAGTAAATTTTATTAATCTAAGGATTTCTCCCCCTTGACACTAGCTGACAAATTTGTATACATTAGCCAGCCACAGGTGATTTAATTTTGTTACTTCTTCCTATCCATATGGTAGAATTATTATCGTCAGATACATGACCCAAACCACATACACACTCACACTCACCAGTCTCCAGTTTCTTTATAATTTAAAGTTTTTTTCTGGCAGGAGACAAGATTAGTTTAAATCTTTGTATGGGGCTCATTACACGGTGGAGCAAATATTTCAGAACACTTGCAAACTGCCACGAGTTCAGGATACTCTCTAAAAGAGTGCAAACAAGACAATTTTAAGTAAAAATGAGGTAAGAGCGAGGTGTTTTGCCAAGTATTAGAACTGGACTAAGGCACTGGTGGTGTTGGAAGATGCAAGCAAAAAACATCTGAAAAACTCAATCAGCCAGGTAACAGATCAACCCATATACTATGAACCCCACACCAAATGGTGTTGGTTCAAATCAGTCCTTACATACTTTGAAATTTTGTTTTAAAACACAAAATATGAGCTGTGAACAGATCAAACAACAATTTCACACAGATCGAGGTCCAACTGTATAAATATTCAAAGTCAGCATATTCAAGGCTTTCATGTCCATGCTATATTTTATTATTAAAATAAAACAAATCATAGCAAAACATAACATAAATGACTTAATATGATAAATAACTGACAAACCATCAACCAACAAGAACCCTGTAACAATGTACAGAAGGAGTACAAGACAATAATATAAATGGGCAAAATCCCATAATTTTCCACACTTGAGCCTGTGCTAGTCTTTGTATACAAGCTTCACTGCACAATACACCTTGATGCACTGACAGGCCTTGCTCATTGATTAAAATAATGAAAGTGACTGCCCATAAATTCATATCCCCAATACAAAAATATCAAATTTAAAAATGTTTAAACTAATTACTTTGTACCAGTACTGTATTTGAAAATAATCTTTTAATAAAAGGCTAGTCCATCCTCATGGTGTCTACATACATATCAAAAAGTGGGAGAATTATATCATATTAAACAATGTACAATGCTGTACAAAGCTGGCAGTCTCTCGGTAGACCTAAGAGCACAAACAAATTTTCAATCATTTATACATCAAATTTTCAGAAAATCTAATCTTCCCACTTACCTCTGAGGATGTGATCCTGTAGGAGACGCTGCCCCAGGCCGTCCAGTCTTGCGTTGAGATCTGCCACGGCGTAAACGTCGGAATGATTCGCGTAAAGATTTCTTTAAAGATTTTCTCCGAGACATGGGGCCTTCGTCGGCAGCGTTAGCTAGGTCTGTAACACACACACACATTCTTGACTATGCCAATATTTAAAGCAGCATCCTGCATTCACACACAATAGACCAGCAATACATGTACGACCAACCTTTGATCGATCCTGTGCGGTACAGTATATCCCTTCAATCTGACTGACAGCTTACTCTCAGTTAGGTACAGTTAAATAAAATATTAAAGTGGGAAATGGGAGAGTACTGATAATGACCGTGATGATGAATAAGTAGTCTTGGACTTGAAGAGAAACCTAGGCCAGGATTCATCTCCACATACCAAACATTTACATCTTTCCTCAACCATACCTTGAGGTGCTTCCGGGGCTTAGCGTCCCCGCGGCCCGGTCGTCGACCAGGCCAAAAACCATTGCAACTTAATTTGCATTTATTAAACAGTTTATGACCTATGAGGTTCTATGAGATTATCTATAACAGCAATATTAGGCTGTGAAGTTTCAAAGTGCATAAACTATTAAATAAATCCAGACTAAGCTGCCATGAATGGGAAAAGCTACACAAGTTTCAAAAATGCACACGCAAATGCTTGATGAATCCTGGACCAAGTCTTTCTATGCAGAGCTTCAGTTTCAGAACAATCAATAATGAAGTACAGTGCAACATCAAATTTAATATCTACTGTCTCTAGAGCAATAGTCTCACAACTGATCCCTAACATAACTAAAAGTTAAAATTTTCATTATCTACACAATCTGTAGTGATTGGTTAAGAAAAATGTTCAAAGTTACAATTGTTAAAATGTATGTGAATCTAGCGGGCCTCAACATGCAGGAATTCCAATCCATTCCACTTACAAGCCTATGTGGTCTTCGTTACCCAACACCCTAGAAAGGTTCATACCACATATGAAGCAACTTATGATAACAATGTTGTACTCATAACAAATCCAAGAATTTTATTGCAAAAAGAAATACAAATAAATTAAGTACTGTACATTATTCTGAATGAAAGCCTCCCCAAATTATATTTTTCAAACCAAACCTATGCCAAAAATTCTAATTTGTTTAAGAGTGATGCATTAAACGAACAAATCCACAAGGGCCAGGACGAGGATTCGAACCTACGTCCGAGAGCATCCCAGACGCTGCCTTAATCGACTGAGCTACGACATGGTAAAAGAATTGCAACCGGGAAATAATCTTGATTTACCAACGAATCCTGCAGTCTCTCCGAGACACAAATCAGGGTTATACACAATTCTCCCATGCACTCAAGCTATGTCAATAGGCTGTTCTACCTCTTAGGCTGAACAATAGGCTGTTCTACCTACCTCTGGGAGCCTGTCGGACGTAGGTTCGAACCCTCGTCACGGCCCTTGTGGATTTGTTAATTTTCTAGTATTTATTCTTTATTCTAAAAAAAATTACAAAATCTTCTTTCTGTAATTCACTATAGACTAAATTGCAAAAAATGTAATAATACTTACCTAAGGGGCTTAAAGTACTTTTGGCGAGCAGATTTTTTTTTTGCACAATATCGAACAGAGCAAATCCATGAGCAGTGCCACATGCCACCAGGCCCCATTCACTATGGAGGGTAAGTGAAGTGCACGATGCCGGAGGGTAGAACTGTACCACAACTGTTGGCTGTATAAACAAACAAGTCATTTCTCCATTAGACCTCTTAAAGTCTAGGTCAATTTGATTAAAGATAAATACTGTTTAAGCAAAATTTTATTAACTCACTAAGATAATTAAGACCTTTCCCAGAAAAGCTAGAAACGTGTGGGCAATAAAGAATGAAAAGATTAACGATACTGTACCGCAGTCTTACAAGATCCACTTACCATTAAAAAGTAAAGGGTTAAAATGCTCATTCTATTTTACTGAAGACAATCTTAGTACATATCAAATACGGTGTTGGAAATTTCCAACACTAATACAATACTATTGTATTATAATAAATCAGTATTATTATATACTAACTACAGTAGTCACTAAAACTTACTAACAGTAATGTTCACATAAACTAACCATTATATCTACATATGGATGCTGGAATTCTTACGAAACCAAGCACCAGTATTGCGTCAGATTATATCTAGTTAAACACATTTATTGCCAGTGTGTTAGAGAATTGAATGTGGTTCTCTAAAATCATCAGTATTCCGTGTGATAGTTATTTATGGATAACATAACTCCCAAATAATTCTAAATCGAGAGTTTTTAGTTACAATTGTTATCAAGTAATAGTTTTTCTGTCACGCGTGAATGCTATAGCGAAAACTAAATTCTTCTCCATTTCTCGTTTACCACCATAAGACGAGAAAGCAATAATATTTAAATCCCTAGAATCACAACCCAGTCTTTATTAAAGTATTTCAACCACAATTGCGCGAAATAGTATTATTCGTGATAAATAATTTCTGTGGTGAATGCGGGACGCGGGTTGAGGGAGAGGAGACGCCATTGTGTGTGTGTGGCGAGCTCGTGTTGCGGAGTGAGCAACGAGAGCATACGTACTTGGACGGGAAAGTCGTGGCGTCAGAGTCTGAGACATGTGACGTTGGGATTATCAGCAAGAATTACACTGATACTCAGCTTAGAACGAATAATTATTCTTCCATGTGATCTACAGTGCTCGGTCAAATAATAACGCGTCAATATTCAAGCCAAACTCTCAACCACGTGTACAACATTGTGGAAGTTTGAGATTGAGACGCGATACCGGCAGACTTCAGCATATACTGCACTCACCGATAAGTATATATTTCTTTCTTGATGCATTATTAGAGAGTGTATATTTCGTGGGCAGTCTGTCGTTACATCGTAAGACGACTAAAAATCCAATGTTAGTACCGCACTAATCTTTATTTTCTATTTCATAAATATTGAGTCTTAAGTAGCCTAGTTCAATGCTACGTAATATCCTTTAAATTACAGCTCGTATGTGAGGAGTCAACGAGCCGTTAACTACATTCGTGTTATTCACCTCCAAGGGCTTCTATGTGGAGATCCTGAGATCACGAGGACGAGGCACGAACGATGTCATAGAAATCGTCTTTTTATATTATTTATCCATTTATTTATTATTTTTATAATATTTATCCATAGACACTGGTTCTTCCTTGTGTTTCTAATGATCACTTTTTATTAGTTTCCCTCTTTTCTCAAAAGTGGGTGGTCCTTCGTTATTAATTTGATTAATTAAATAATTAAACAATTGAGTCAAGCCCCAGATATCCCACATACGGTAGAGTACACTCACTCATATGGTATCCTCAAATTACCTATCGACCAACATACACTATCCATCACCACGTGGAACAGCCTATCTGCAATACTTGAAGATAAAAGTTGATTTTAGGACAAGCCACTTCGAGACTTGCTTAAGAAGGCACTCTTGGAAACAGAGGGGAAATATTTTTGTGCGATTCCATCGGCTGTTCATTCATTCAGCAACATCCTTCACGTATGTCTACTAAAAATGCCAGGAATGTGCCAGTAAAGGCTTCTACTAGTGGTATACTCAAGAACAGAACAGAACAAGTACGACTTTCAAAGATATTAGAAAGAATAAAGAATTTTTGTTTGTTTTATAACAAACCAAATAATAAAACCTTGCCCATGAGGAAGGAACTGAGTCAAGCTACAGTTAAAGTGTGTTAATGCTGTCTGTGAATGGTACAGACATTCACAGACTGTCTGTACCCAGCAGCAAGGTGAAGTAAAGCCAGCCCAAGCATGGCTACACGTAAGAAAACCAAGTATTTCTGTGTGAAAATTAACATACCAAATCATGGCTCTATTGTAATTGGAAGCTGAGTTGCTTTAAGAGCCACATTGGTATCAAACACATCAAGGTATTTGGAAAGAGAGTGATCTGCTATTATCATTGATGAAATCAAATACAGTATTGAGACATTTCTGGTGATCGTGAACAGACAGATTATCTCCATAACAAATTTACAATAAAAATAGGCGAGTTATATTTGCAAGTTGTAACCAAATGACACCAGTTCACAGTAAAGAAACATACTTTTGCTGCCTACAAGCAGATAGAGGACAAATTGTTTGTGATGTTCTGTGCTAATATTTAAATGCTTTAAAAGGAATGCTTAAATGCAACTGGCTCATTATCAATAAAAGTAAAAATCCAAGGATATTCATTAAAGTGCCCAAATCTATCTGCTATTTACAGAGCTGAACAATCTTTATAGATTAGTAGAAATCATCTCCCAGGATTAATACAAATTTTGTGTCTCGGGTGAAAGTATTCTTTAAAAAGATGGCCCTTACACAAAACAGCAAAGTTATGAGTGTTTTAGCAACTCACCAATACATTCAAAAGCATATCACTTAAGAGGAAAAATGTAACCACTGGTTCATCACCTCCAGATATCACAACTTCAATCCAGCACAGGAATCTAGCCATAATTACTAACTTCAAGTACTACAGCACTACAAGAAACATTATGCCTTCAATTATCTATGACAACTGTAGTAGTGTCAAAGATTCAACAAAAGCAACACCACTAAATCAGCAATATGTATAGTGACTAGAGCATGGGGTAATATCTAAAATTCAACCTTGGTTAATGTAGGGAAGAAAATTTGGCCCACAGATCCCATGTTTCTTCACTCTGCCATTGTGGCTGGTGCTGCTGCTGCTGTTGCTCCTGTAGATTATTTTGAAGGCTTTGCAACAAGTGCATGAACAAAAAATTTGGTCCTGGGTCCCGTTCCAATGTACAGTAATGCTGATAAATGCCAGAAAGTATACTGACCACTGCCCAAGCCAAAAATAAGGACATATATGATTTTTGTCCATCTTTTGAATACAGACCTTCCACTTCATAAGAGAAAAGTTCAAAAACTGTTTCTGGGAGAACCTCATGGTGGTTCCCTATAGCTGTCTCGCTGAGATTGCTCTATTCTACTTATCCATCAGTTGCATTAGTTTGTTTCACCTACTGGGGACCGGTGCCAGAAACTGGCCCCCTTCACACAGGGTGCACAAAGCAAATGACATTCTGCCATTTCACCAGAAATGCATCCAGAAAGTCAGTAAAGCTTAATAAACAACGGCCACATTCACAGGAGCCTGGAGCCCAGTTCAGTGTCGGCTATCAATTGACTTCCTTCACAGCAAGTCCTAGAGCTTCTAAGCCAAGTACCCACCACCCTAGGACCCATCCTGCGGGGCCCTTTTTTTTTTTGCTAGTGTATTGTTCCATTACAGTATTTGGTTCATGAGTGCATTTTCTGTCTAATTTTGTTGTGTAGACTTGGCTTTTTGTGCTCTGAACTGCATGGGCCTAGCAGTTACTTCTCTGGGTGCTCTGTTGCAATGCCCTTTTACTGACAGAGATTCTTCCCTGTTGTGTTCAGGAGTTTGTCTTCACGAGGCCACACCACCGGGGTGGGGTGCTTTACTTCAGGTATTTCAGGGGATTGTCTGACCTCTATTTAGGTCCTTGTTTGGGGGCATTCATTAGGTTGTGTGGGGTACATTTGGAGTATGCGCACTTTATTTATAGTGGCCCCTCCGTTTACGCATTTAAACCCGTTCCCAGAGACGGCTGATAATGTTCCCTCACTTTACAATAATCTGATTATTCTGTGCATAACTCTTGGTTCTCTACACATTCTATGGGTAATGTAAGTACCAATTGGCTACTTTAGCATTCCAAAAATTATGGTATTGGGGTGCATAGAATATGTAGAGCACAACTTATCATTGTATAAATTTATACTATAATTGTATTCTTTTTTCCATATACAAATAAACATCAAAACAATTTATTCAAATAAAAATATTAAAATTATATAAGAGCCTAAAGAAATGCATACGAACCAAGTTGCTTAGAAATGACGTGTGCATTGGAGCAGTGCATAAGGTGCTACTGCTGTCATGCACAAACACACTAATAATCACAGAAAGACACAGACAAAAGGCTCTCCATTACCTGCATGCCTGGTCCAAATTTGACTGGATCAGTCTTCATGTCAAGTTTATTGTGGCTCTTCCATACAAAGTTTTCATTTTCAGCTACTAAATTCACATTCACACACTGCAAGGAAAAACAAAATTCATTATGCATAATATGGTCAAACTAAACAAAAATTTTTATATTCTTGAATGAAATACAGTTAACTATAATCCCATTGATATGAGCATTAAAACATTTTTAATTTACTTGCACAAGACAAAGGAAATTATCCAAGAAAGATTAAAGAACACATCACATTGATTATACTGTACAAGGAAACACAGAGTACAGTATATACCTGTTAATCAGTGTTAGGTCCCCTGGGTCTATGGCCTATTATACTAGTCAACATTCATGGACAAAGCAGGTAGGTTCTCGTATCCCAAAACCCCACTTACCTTCCCACACTAAAACTATACTGCCTACTACTGTTGACCAGTATACTTCTCTCAAACCCTGAAAATAAACTTGCACCAAGCTAGGTGAGCAGCATTAGCTCCAAAACTTTAATAGTGTATAAGAGTGGAACGTGCAGTAAAATTTCTTGTCAAAATGTGATGATCTATTGAAATCTAACCCACCAACCTACTGAAGCAAAGAATATATATAATTGTTTGTCTGACAACAAAACGTGAACCCTGAGCCTTTGAGCTTAAAGTTTTTGACAGGGCAGCAGAAAATAACATGATGTTTAATAGTGATATATTCCAAGTACTCAGATACAGTAAAAATGAGGACCTTAAACATAATACAGGGTACAAAACTCAATCAAATCTGACCATAGTAGGACAGCAGCAAGTAAAGGATTTGGGAATAATGATGTCTGATGACCTAACGTTTAGGGAGCATAACCAAGCAAATATTGCGTCAGCCAGAAAAGTGATAGGATGAATTACGAGAACTTTCAAATCCAGGGATCCCATCACAATGGTTGTAAATCACTTGTACTATCCCGTCTTGAGTACTGCTCAGTACTCACTTCCCCCTTCAGAGCAGAAGAGATTGCTGGAATAGCGGGAATACAGAGAACATCTATGGCATACCTAGATGCGATAAAGCACCTAAATTATTGGGACTGTCTCAAAGCTCTCCAAATGTACTCACTAGAAAGGAGACGAGAGAGATATCAAATAATATACACGTGGAAAATACTGGAGGGCCAGATCCCAAATCTACACAGTAAAATAACAATGTACTGGAGTGAACAATATGGAAGAAATGCAGAACAGAACCAGTGAAATGCAGGAGTGCCATAGGCAAAATCAGAGAACACTGTACAAACATCAGAGGTCGACGGTTGTTCAACATCCTCCCAGCGAGTGCAAGAAATATTGCCGGAATAACCATGTACATCTTCAAGAAAACCAGCAAATTACACAGAATTGCATAATATAAATGTAAAAAACTGTGAAAAACCAAGTTAGTGACACTGAAATAAATCAATACAGTATAAATATTTTTGCGGCAACTCCTGCTGCCTGCCTGGCCTGAACGACCTTCAAAGGGCGTCTCGCCCATCAGCACTTATGAATCAGTGAAGTCATTGCGGTTTTCCTCTCACCACCATAGCTAAAGTAAGCTACATACAAATTTTTGTTTTAGTTCTTGTGATCAGGGAATGCATCTTAACACTTTGTGTGGCCCAGCAGGTCACCTGCAGCACAACGCAAGGTAGACCTGTGAGCGCACAACCACACTCCAATGTTTATAATTTTTAGTTTTCTCACTTTAATTTTCATGCTACTTCGTTCATTTTGATATCTAATTGTTCGCAATAGAATGCTCTAAAGGGATGTATAAAATGCATACCTCTCCATTACCTGCATGCCTGGTCCAAATTTGACTGGATCAGTCTTCATGTCAAGTTTATTGTGGCTCTTCCATACAAAGTTTTCATTTTCAGCTACTAAATTCACATTCACACACTGCAAGGAAAAACAAAATTCATTATGCATAATATGGTCAAACTAAACAAAAATTTTTATATTCTTGAATGAAATACAGTTAACTATAATCCCATTGATATGAGCATTAAAACATTTTTAATTTACTTGCACAAGACAAAGGAAATTATCCAAGAAAGATTAAAGAACACATCACATTGATTATACTGTACAAGGAAACACAGAGTACAGTATATACCTGTTAATCAGTGTTAGGTCCCCTGGGTCTATGGCCTATTATACTAGTCAACATTCATGGACAAAGCAGGTAGGTTCTCGTATCCCAAAACCCCACTTACCTTCCCACACTAAAACTATACTGCCTACTACTGTTGACCAGTATACTTCTCTCAAACCCTGAAAATAAACTTGCACCAAGCTAGGTGAGCAGCATTAGCTCCAAAACTTTAATAGTGTATAAGAGTGGAACGTGCAGTAAAATTTCTTGTCAAAATGTGATGATCTATTGAAATCTAACCCACCAACCTACTGAAGCAAAGAATATATATAATTGTTTGTCTGACAACAAAACGTGAACCCTGAGCCTTTGAGCTTAAAGTTTTTGACAGGGCAGCAGAAAATAACATGATGTTTAATAGTGATATATTCCAAGTACTCAGATACAGTAAAAATGAGGACCTTAAACATAATACAGGGTACAAAACTCAATCAAATCTGACCATAGTAGGACAGCAGCAAGTAAAGGATTTGGGAATAATGATGTCTGATGACCTAACGTTTAGGGAGCATAACCAAGCAAATATTGCGTCAGCCAGAAAAGTGATAGGATGAATTACGAGAACTTTCAAATCCAGGGATCCCATCACAATGGTTGTAAATCACTTGTACTATCCCGTCTTGAGTACTGCTCAGTACTCACTTCCCCCTTCAGAGCAGAAGAGATTGCTGGAATAGCGGGAATACAGAGAACATCTATGGCATACCTAGATGCGATAAAGCACCTAAATTATTGGGACTGTCTCAAAGCTCTCCAAATGTACTCACTAGAAAGGAGACGAGAGAGATATCAAATAATATACACGTGGAAAATACTGGAGGGCCAGATCCCAAATCTACACAGTAAAATAACAATGTACTGGAGTGAACAATATGGAAGAAATGCAGAACAGAACCAGTGAAATGCAGGAGTGCCATAGGCAAAATCAGAGAACACTGTACAAACATCAGAGGTCGACGGTTGTTCAACATCCTCCCAGCGAGTGCAAGAAATATTGCCGGAATAACCATGTACATCTTCAAGAAAACCAGCAAATTACACAGAATTGCATAATATAAATGTAAAAAACTGTGAAAAACCAAGTTAGTGACACTGAAATAAATCAATACAGTATAAATATTTTTGCGGCAACTCCTGCTGCCTGCCTGGCCTGAACGACCTTCAAAGGGCGTCTCGCCCATCAGCACTTATGAATCAGTAAAGTCATTGCGGTTTTCCTCTCACCACCACAGCTAAAGTAAGCTACATACAAATTTTTGTTTTAGTTCTTGTGATCAGGGAATGCATCTTAACACTTTGTGTGGCCCAGCAGGTCACCTGCAGCACAACGCAAGGTAGACCTGTGAGCGCACAACCACACTCCAATGTTTATAATTTTTAGTTTTCTCACTTTAATTTTCATGCTACTTCGTTCATTTTGATATCTAATTGTTCGCAATAGAATGCTCTAAAGGGATGTATATGCATACACGGTAAAATATAAAAACAACCTTACTAATACTATAAGATAAAGTACATCATGTGAAAAAAACGCCTTTTCGTCATTGTTTACAATCGTTATTCATTCCCAACATTATTTGTTACACTGTATCATTCGTTTTAGTGTTGCTTTGTGTTTATAAAGGCAGTAACAAAAAATACCTGAGGTAAAACAACTGGAACAGGTACACATTTCAACTCGAGGGTAGGCCATGGCAGTCACGTGCGTGATCACGAAAACAATGAGCCTCCCGCATGGGTGGCCACCCACGCAGCAGTATCATGATGCCACGTGGGGTATACAGAGAACAGGAAAAAGATGGCACATGTATTAAAACAAGTCCCATAATAATTGGCAATAAATGGAATTTTTACAAATATTTTAATTGTTGACGGCATTAACGCCATGTCTCACACTACGTGTATAGTTTTTATGACCTCAAGAATGTCATCACGAAGCCAAAGTGTGATGAAATTAGCAGTGTAGAGGTTAAGAATGTTTTTTACGGAGACAAGGAACCTAAAATTTGAATTTATTAACTGTTTAAGTCTGTGCAGGGGAAGAGAGAGCAACTAGGTTTTGATCCAACATGGCAGGCACTGCTGCATGAGAATTCATGCCAATATTTTAGGTAATGCAGCAACACTGGATTTCCTGGATGTGGGCGAGTAAGATAATCGGTTGCATGAAAGGGATATTAGCCAATGGCGTAGAGATCTGAGGTCACATGTTTGGTAAAAGGCACCCAAGTACTCGCCTAGTTGTACTCACCTATTTGTGATTGCGGGGGTTTGAACTTTGGCTCATCTGTTCCACCTCTCAACAATCAATCAAATGGTGTACAAGTTCCAGAGCCTATTGGTCTCTATCATATCTACATTTGAAACTGTGTATGAAGTCCGAGAAAATCACAGACGCTGCCTTAATCGACTGAGCTACGACATGGTTAAAAGAATTGCAACTGGGAAATCATCCTGATTTAGCTAATATGGTGTTTACCTGCTAACAAAGACGATGAAAACCTACGTCCTCTCGGACGTAGGTTCCCTGGAAACACAAACCGAAACTGTCTCTATTTTCCGCTTGTTACAACTTGTAATAAGGTTGTTACATCTTGGCTTAACGTGTTTATGACGTATTAGAACATCGTTACAGTTTGCTATATTGGTTGTTATAACTGGTTAGGAGGTGTTAACACTTGTTCGAACGTTGTACCAACGTCGTAGTTTCGGTGTGTGTTTGGCGGGTTCGAACCCCCATCACGGCTCTTGTGGATTTGTTCATTTGATGCATCACGCTATTGTGATTTCTGTGTGTAATGAAGTAAGGGCGAAGAGGTAGAACAGCCTATTGACATAGCTCGAGTGCACGGGGGAATTGCATAAAACCCTGGTTTGTGTCTCGGAGAGACTGCAGGAACCGTTGGAAAATCAGGATGATTTCCCAGTTGCAATTCTTTTAACCATGTCATAGCTCAGTCGATTAAAGCAGCGTCTGGGATCCTCTCGGACGTAGGTTCGAACCCTCGTCACGGCCCTTGTGGATTTGTTCATTTGATGCAACATGCTATTGTGATTTCTGTATGTACTGAAGCAAATTCACATGAGCCACCAAAGGAAACAAATGCAGGAAGCCAAAAAGCTCAAGAAATATGTCTTCCAAGGCACCGAGTGATACCCATAACCAAAGTTGAAGGGGTAGCAGCCAAATGATCATGGGAAGACCAGAAGTGGGGGAAAGACTAGAAGCAGGGAGATCCACACCCGCATGGAAAAGCAAGAGCAGGCATGGATTTAGTCCAAGTGCATGTCACCAACACCTCCAATTCCAGGTTCCTAAACACCATAGAGGCCAACTCCAGGGCATCAAATCGTATCACAACGCAGTGAATGCCCAACCGTAGCAAACCTAGCTCGCAAAGTATCAGCTGCCTGAAAAGCTTCTACAATGAAAGCAGTCCATCAATGCAGAGATCGAGGGAAAACAAATTTGCAAAGGACTCAGGGTCATAGGCATCACCGACCCAACAGGCAGCATACTGGAGGCAGAAAGAATGATCACCGCCTGCTAACAAAGACGATGAGCACCCTTCAAATTTGCACTTGGAGAGTGTGGGCTTAACAGGTTAAACCAATCATGCCAAAGACCCACAAGGTAAATTACCACGACCTGAAGGCAGCAGACAGGCACCAAAGCATTGAGGCCACTCGCTGGAAAACAGACGCCAAACGCAGCCAAAAGAACTAGACTATGATTGGTGTCCACAGCATGTCAAGTAAACAAACACACCAACCCCAACACAACAAACATAATGCCCTCGGCCAAAAATATCGGCCAAAAGCCCAAACAGCGGATTCAAAGATCCATGAATAGCCTCAAACGATGCTCTCCACCATGGTGATCTGACCTATCAGGGGCTTCCTCCCAAACACACCAGATAAGATATCTGTCAGTGCTGTGGCAGTGCTAGTAAGCACCTCAGGAAATAGCCCATAGCACATGCAGCTCAAAGCACAACAAAGCCAAGCTCACACAAGCTAGATAGAAAACACACATGAAGGAAAATGCTAAAATATAGAATATAATACAAAGCAAAAGGCCCCCTTTTGAAACCAGTTCAAGTACAGCCAGCACTTAGCTTGAAGCAGAGGGGGTTGCTGCATCTGAAAGATCCAGAACATGGCTGTTCATGTGGACATGAGCCAAAAACTAATTAAGAAACAAGGCTGCATGTGGAAGCTGGCCTGCCTGGTAGTGGCATTCGGTATCGAGTTTGGCGTTAATTATGAATGTTTCTCGTTTTGCGTGAATCGTTTGTGGAGCTGTTTGGGGATTTCAAGGCTTTGGTCTTTGTTAACCTCCAGTTGTCTGTAAACCTTCTCTAACTTTCTGGAGGCTTTCCTGATGTGATGACGAATTATCACTTATTCTTTGCCTGAATGAGAGAGGCCAGGATCTGGTTCTGGTCCCCCCAGTAGAGCAAACAGAACTCCTGCTTATTCTGATGTGACCAACTTGCGTGGAACAATTTCAATATGAGAGCATGAGGAACCCCATGGAGGCTTCCCCAGAAGAAAAAACCCAGATTCTATAGAAGATATGGTCAAATTCATATCTTGCTTTTATGTTAATTCAATTTACCTAGCTTGGGTTGGTTGTGGCACAACTTTGCCATCAATTGACAATAAGGTCATGCCCCAGCCAGTGTGTGGATACAGGTGCAGCAAATGGGTGACGGGGTTGGTGAGGGTGGTGAGCAGGGTGGGCAGCAGGGTGGGTGGTGAGCAGGGTGGGCAGCAGGGTGGGTGGTGAGCAGGGTGGGTGGTGAGCAGGGTGGGTGGTGAGCAGGGTGGGTGGTGAGGTAGGGCAGCTGGGGTGGGTGGTGAGGTGGGGCAGCTGGGGTGGGTGGTGAGCAGGGTGGGTGGTGAGGTGGGGCAGTTGGGGTGGGCGGCAGGGTGGGTGGTGAGGTAGGGCAGCTGGGGTGGGTGGTAGGGTAGGTGGTGAGGTAGAGCAGCTGGGGTGGGCGGCAGGGTGGGTGGTGAGGTAGGGCAGCTGGGGTGGGTGGTAGGGTAGGTGGTGAGGTAGGGCAGCTGGGGTGGGCGGCAGGGTGGGTGGTTATCTTGAGATGATTTCGGGGCTTTTTTTTAGTGTCCCCGTGGCCCGGTCCTCGACCAGGCCTCCACCCCCAGGAAGCAGCCCGTGACAGCTGACTAACACCCAGGTACCTATTTTACTGCTAGGTAACAGGGGCATAGGGTGAAAGAAACTCTGCCCATTGTTTCTCGCCGGCGCCTGGGATCGAACCCAGGACCACAGGATCACAAGTCCACCTCACCACTTGTGAGGTGGGACAGCTAGGGTGGTAGGGTACCAGGAGTGGGTGGTAGGAGTGGTAGGGGTAGGTGGTGAGGCACCCTGAACCCCTGGTGACAAAAGCCGAGCAGCACCAAAACTACAATGTGCAGTTTAACCAGTTATAGTTACAGTTGCACTAAGCAACTATTAACATGCTGACACCCCCCCATAGTGAGCAAAAAAAATTTTCTGAAAAAGTTATTTTTTCTTTTGACATTGTTAAATTAGCCTTCAGAGAGCACAAAAAAACATGAAAAAAGTCTCTACCTCTTGTGGTTTAGCGGTAGTGGGCTAGAAAAGTTGCATTTGTTGCGGTAGAAATGAGGTGAGGTGCCGCATGGGAATAACTATGTCGATTTATTTTCATTGTTCCTCACTTGAGTAATTTAATTTCTTCATGTTAACAGGTTGCAGGTAGTGATTATTAAACTTGCATGAACCTTGCAAGTACTTTGGTCAGAGTGCTGGACTCAGTGTGTTCATTACACCTGTCAGTCAAAAGTTTGAACCTTTCACCAGAGGAGCTCTTTCTCATATAATCAGCTTGCGGTTCATGCAAGTTAGTGTACTGTAAAAAATGGGAGCTCGTGTTTTCTCAAATAAGTGAATTGTGTCAATGAAAACGAACTTCTGGTTTGTGGGTGCCAAGTTGCTGTTGGGTCATTGGAAGAAATAGCCTAGGCTACAATGTCTTAACAGTCGGGTAGCCATTTGGTCAGAATACTGTACTGGACTTGTCAGTGTGTTCATTACACCTGTCAGTCTAAGGTTTGAACACATTTCACGAGAGGATCTCTTTATGATATAAGGCTATATATAAGTCTAAATCTTAAAATTGCATATATCACACATTTTGCCTGAAATATATACATGACAATCACTCATTTGCCATTGTTAAAAGGTGAGTGGTGCCTAGTATGGCCGCCCTGCACATTCACCCACTGCAAGGTGATGCTGCCAGATAAGGTCCTCATTTTATTACGCAGGAAAGTGAGGGACTCAGAATTTATTTCAAGATGGGGGGATGGTTACTGGAGGCCTGAGGAAGCAAATATGAGCCCTGTGTATGTGCAGGACTATTTTAAATATTTTAAATCTCTAAATCATATATATATATATGATAAGTGCAGTGCAGTCAGTTAAACCAAAATCATATATACATGATATGGGCAGTGGAAGGGGTTAAACCCCGTTGATGGAAGCCATGCAGTGCCAAAACCGAAACACAAGGGTACAGTTGACAAATCCACTACAAATTGTATGGCAAAACAGGAAACTGCTCAGGAAACTAGAAGTCAGACCAGATGGAGTCTTCCCTCAGTTACTAAGGGCCTGTACATTAAAGAGTACCACCCAACCACATATTTTTCAAACATCCTTATAAACAGGGAACCTAGCTGACATGAAATGCAAGCATAGTTCCAATCTAAAAGAATGAAACTGGAAAGATCCACTAAACAAGACCTCTACCACCGATATGTATGGTAGCAAAAGCACTAGAAAAATTTATTGAATGCAAATTGAGAAAATACCTGCAAAGTGACTAATTTAGGTAACTGTCTTAACTGTCTGTAACCAACAGACAGTTAGAACTTCAAATGAGAAGGTCAACAGTAACAAACACACTTAGTTTCTAATAATATATACTTGTAAAATACTTTAAAAACCCTTTGACAATGTGGTTTCAAATTTTAGATTAGGGTACTGTGCCATTTTAGGTGGGAGGTATCTTTTTGGCTTGGTGATATATAATTTTAGACCAGGCTAGCATGTTCTCTGAAAACAACTGGCTTGTCAAAACTGGGATGCTCAAGTGAGGCCGTTAATTACCCAGGGAGAAGGTGACTCGTCGCATTCCCCTGGAGGTAACGTCTTGTGCCCAGCCAGCCGGGCGAGCAGAACATCTCTGCCATAGCCCATCATTTTCCTAATTACCTACCCCATCCCCCACTCTCTTTTGCAATGACCGAGTTTCAATCCCTCATCCACTCCTTCATCTACACCCTTACCCTTAACATGGAAATGGGCAAGTTACAGAGACCACCCCTCACAATGCCTGATTTCAGAGACCACCCTCAGTAGTAAGCAGTAAAATAGGTACCTGGGTGTTAGTCAGCTGTCACGGGCTGCTTCCTGGGGGTGGAGGCCTGGTCGAGGACCGGGCCGCGGGGACACTAAAAAGCCCCGAAATCATCTCAAGATAACCTCAAGATAACCCTTCTCCCCAACTACTGCACGCTCACCTGGCTGCATGAGCCCACCTTCTCTACGCCCACTAGAGGCCCCTCAATCAGTTGGTAACCTGCCCTGCATGATACCTGCTTGATGGGGTTCTGAGAGTTGTTCTATTCCCTAAGCCCAGTCCAAGGGCAGGCCTGACTAGTGAGAGCTTGATTCAACAGGTTGTTGCTTGGAGCAGCCTGCAGGCCCGCAGGCCCACATATCCACCACAGCCCGGTTGGTCCAGTATTTCCCCCAAAAAACTATCTAGTTTTCTCTTGAAGATGTCCACGATTGTTCCGACAATATTTCTTATACTCGCTGGGAGGATGTTGAACAATCATGGACCTCTGATGTTTATACAGTGTCCTCTGATTGTGCCTATGGCACCTCAGATGGTACGAGGTGCCATAGAATAGACAGGTAGTGACAGAGACAGACAGACATGTACTATTGGTGGGGTGACAAGTAGACTTTTAAATTGGATGAGAAATTTTGTAACATATGAATATGCATGCATATTAATATTAATATATTATATATATATTATATATTATATATATATTATATTGCAAACAAGCCTGAATGGTCCCCAGGACTATATACAATGTTAAAAAGTGAGTTCCATTACTCGTTCCCGGGTAATTTTAGGCTTTCCTGCGGGGAGTCTCGCCATGCTTTTGGAGATTATATGCATATACATCTGCAGGGAATTTAATTGCGAACACAATGATACCAAAACAAACGACGTAGTGTAACGAGAATTAATTTGAGAAAACTGAAACGAGTATACACATTTAGGCGTCGTTGCACGCTCACCCGCACCATTAGCCCCATGACGTCAAAGACTGCGGCGCTCTTGTGGAGCGGGCAATAGTGTTAAGAAGCACATCAACAAACTGGAAAAGGTGCAAAGACATGCTACTAAGTGGTTCCCAGAGTTGAAGGGCAAGAGCTACGAGGAGAGATTAGAGGTATTAAATATGCAAAAACTAGAAGATAGAAGAAAAAGAGGCAATATGATCACTACGTACAAAATAGTAACATAAATCAATAAAACTGATAGGGAAGCATTCCTGAGACCCAGAACTTCAAGAACAAGAGGTCATAGATTTAAACTAACGAAACAGAGCTGCCAGAGAAATGTAAGAAAATTCACTTTTGTAAACATAGTGGTAGACGGTTGGAACAAGTTAGGTGAGGTGGTGGTCGTGGCCAAAACCGTTGGTAATTTCAAAGCGTTATATGACAGAGTGCTGGGAAGACGGGACACCACGAGCGTAGCTCTTATCCTATAACTACACTTAGGTAATTACGTTTAGGTAATTACACACACAGAGCTATTACCTGCGGGGAACACTCCTTGTCTTGAGCTTCTAAGTTGTGTATAAGAACCTGGCCAGCCGTACCAGCAACAATAAGTGTTCCGGTGTAAGGACACATCACCATTTTCTTTACCCCCAATCTTGGATCATCACTGTATGGGTCAAACAGTCCAGCCTAGAGAGAACAAAAGTAATATTTATATAGTGGCATTAGGTCTACATAGAGTATGATTACACATAAATACTGAAAATTATCACAACCCCAATTTCCCAATTCCATGGGTTGGAAGAGACATCAGCTTAATAAACATTAAGAGGAACAGTATTGTAATAATGCCAAGCTTAATCTTAACTCCACAATGAACCTAAGAACATAATAAAGGACATTGCACGGGTCTATTGGCCCATAATATGCAGTCTATATTTATATTCACTCAAACTCATTCATATGTACTCTATGTTAAAACTTCACAAGCAGCAATTATGTTAATGTTGGTAATTTGTCAATAATGATTAATAATTATGTTGATTATATTGATTAATTATGTTGATAAATAATAATTAATGATTATGTTGGTAATTTGTTCCAGAACTTAACAATAGTTCCAAACAAGTACTTACCCAGGTTTTCACCGAATCTAAAATTTTCTTATTTACATCTAATGTTTTGAGTTCAATTTTGTGTTGATATATTCACAACATGATTTATATCCCCTTTGTTAAACCCTTTATGCATTCATATACTGTACTTAAATTTATCACCCCTTACTCTTCGAAGGGGTTAAACAATGTAAATAAGCCTGCCAATGTCAATAGCACCTGATAAACGAAACAAAGAATGTGATGACCAAACCACACAACAGAAGATGGAAAAACGACGACGTTTCGGTCCGTCTTGGACCAGAAACGTCGGGTCCAAGACGGACCCGAAACATTCAAGTCGTATGTGAATGTGAATCTAAAGAGTGTGACTCATAAAGATGACAATAGTACAAAAGATATAATCCTCTGTAACTATCAATCAGACCTCTTACTGGCTATTCATGCCCATGCCACCTCTTGGGTGGCTTAATCTTCTTCAGTCAATCAGGCCTTACTCTTTCTCACTACAGGAAACTTAATTTAATTTTAAACATACCTTCCTGAATGGTGGCCAGTCGTCATCTTCTGCTGATATTCCATCACCTCCAAGATCCTCCGACACAAAGAGTTGAGACGTTGATAACTTGTACAGCAGTGTGAGTGAAACTCCTGAAGCATCCCAGAACTGTACTGTACCTGAAAATACCAAACTTGTATTAGTCAGTGCTGATAAAAATCACCTACAATACATTGGAGAGAGAATTGCTTTTGACCAAGAAAATCTCTGCACAAAATTTGATTGCAGTACATAGATACATCTAATAATATAGCAGCTTAATAATTAAAAGATCTATAGTATTCACTTTAAATATATTTGCATCACTAATTATTCACAAAACTAGTATAAAATCTATTTTGAGAGTATCATCTTAATATATTCAACAGTTTCCTTAAATATCTCAAACATTTTCCCTGACTTGCTATACCCAACAAATGCTTGGCAGTAACAATACAGTACTGTACTGTAGTGTAGTATATTCAATTTTAAAACGATTAACAAATTTAAATAAATATTTAATAAGAATATAATTCAATAAACCTTCTAAAACGAACCATCTTCGTGTCCAGTCAATAACACATCTTTCTGCTTGGGCGTGTCGGTATTTTTAATTTTGCCGCCATTGATAGGCCAGGGTCTCGTGGAGAGGCCAGACTGCTGCTTCGACCCAGCTTCCTGGCACCAAGAATAAATTTATGGAAACATAAGATAACCAATTTTTATGCAATAGAGGTTTCCTATTTAAATAATAGTTATGAATTTCAAATAATAATGAATTCAAATACACAGAGAAATCACACTAAGATGATAGATAGATAGATAGATAGATAGATAGATAGATAGATAGATAGATATATATATATATATATATATATATATATATATATATATATATATATATATATATATATATATATATATATATATATATATATATATATATGTCGTACCTAGTAGCCAGAACTCACTTCTCAGCCTACTATTCAAGGCCCGATTTGCCTAATAAGCCAAGTTTATATATATATATATATATATATATATATATATATATATATATATATATATATATATATATATATATATATATATATATATATATATATATATATATATATATATATATATATATATATATATATATATCTCAATGAGAAAATCAATTGGAGCAATGTGACTCGAACTAGTGATCAAGGAACCCCTCAGCAGCCTACTTTACCCCTGTACCACAACATGGTACAAGTTATATAACCTGGGATTCCACTGAATCCACAGTAAGTCTGGAGGTTCCTACTGAAGCCAGCCCAAGCTTTATACTCAACCCCCAAGCACTCTGGTGTCAGTAAAGAAGTTCATCAACCACACACTCCAGTTTCATCAATCGTCCATTAACCCCCGCACTGCACACCTGTTTTTGGCAAAAATTTCATGGTGCAGTTGTTAAGGACATATTTGTTGTTGTTTTTATAAAGGTTCTGCTAATATTAATTTCAAAATGTTTCCAAACTAGATCTTTTTCATTTCAAATCACAAAGAGTGATGAAAACATTAAAAACTTTAAAATATTACCTAATTAAACAAAATCACACAACCCTCAGATCGACATTTGTTGTTTGGCGCAGTGCAGTGGTTAAAGTTGATCTCTCTTTAGAAAACCTGCTTCCATGACTTAACTTTTTCAAATCATCATTTTCCTTCTTTTATGTTAGAATGTTTTATGCATGTAGCTTTAGTATGTTGTCTACTTCCACTAACCTGCATGTGAGTAATTACCCTAAGTGCAATTACAATGATGGGAGCTACACTCATGGTGTCCTGTCTTCCCTGTAATCTGCCTTATGATACTGACACCACAGATGGTTTTGCCATCCATCATCACCTTGCTTAAATTGTTCTTGTGTCTACAACACTCTTCCCGAGAGTCCTTTCAATTTTTGTTGGCACCTTTGTTTCCTTATCTTAAATCTACAGCCTCTTGTTAAACTTGCAAGATTAAAAACCATCTTATCAACTGTACCAATTCATGTCATTTTTTGTATGTAATGATCATAGTGCCTTTCTTCCTTCTATCTTCTAGCTTTGGCAAATTTAAATTTCAAGCCTTGTGTCAGCCTTCCATAAATTGGGCCCTGACAGCTGAGTGGATAGTGCTTCGGATTCGTAGTCCTGAGGTTCTGGGTTCGATCTCCGGTGGAGGCTGAAACAAATGGGCAGTTTCTTTCACCCTAATGCCCCTGCTACCTAGCAGTAAATAGGTACCTGGGAGTTAGACAGCTGCTACGGGCTGCTTCCTGGGGGTGTAACAAAAAGGAAGCCTGGTAGAGGACCGGGCTGCGGGGATGCTAAGCCCCGAAATCATAGCAAGATAACCTTGTGTAGCTTCCAGGGATCAACAGCCCCATGGCCTGGTCTCCGACAAGGTGCCTGGTTGCTTGACTGGTCAACCAGGCTGTTAAACGCAGCTGCATGCAGTCTGACTTATGAATCACAGCCTGGTTGATCAGGTATTCTTCGAAGGTGTTTGTCGAGTTCTTTCTTAAACAATACAAGAGGCTGGCTAGTTATGCTCCTTACATGTAGCGGGAGAGTGTTGAACAGTCTTGGGCCCTTGATGTTGATGAAGTACCTATTGCACCTCTGTTTTTCAATGAGGGTATTTTTCCCATCCTTCCATGCTTACTGGTTTCATGTGATGTAATCTGTGATGTGATAATCATGTTCAGATTTGGAACCAGTCCCTCTAATATCTTTCACGTGAAGATTATTCTCTCTCACCTACACTCTTAGAGAAAACAGATTTAGAACTTTTAATCGGTCCCAATAATAAAATTTACTTATAGAGTGGATTCTAGCAGCAAAGGATCTTCTCGCACACTCTAGGTCAGCAATTTCTCTGGTTCGGAATAGAGCTGTTAGTGTGCAACAATATTCCAATCTATAGAGCGCTAGTGTCTTGAAAATTATCATCACTACACACACAAATCACAATAGCATGATGGATCAAATGAACACATCCAAAAGGGCCGTGACGAGGATTCGAACCTACGTCCGAGATCATCCCAGACGCTGCCTTTATCGACTAAGCTACAACATGGTAGTATCTTCCTCGTCACGGCCTCTCTGTCTCCGCCCACGTCTCCAAATCCTCGTCACAGCCCTTGTGGATTTGTTCATTTGATCCATCACGCTATTGTGATTTCTGTGTGTAGTGATGATAATTTTCAAGACACTAGTGCTCTATAGGGCTCTATTGTTCATTATCATCATTGTTTGGTAGGTACTTGTTCTTCAACCTGTCAATTTCCGAGCGTGCGTGTGACAGCTACTTTAATGTGTTGTGTAGAAGTAAGGTCTTCTGACATGATTACTCCTAGATCATTTACATTGCTCTTTTGTTCCAGAGTGTGATTTGACTTTGTTTTATAAATGATTTCCACTTTTATATTTTTGTTTTTACCATAGTGCTTGAGCTGGAACTCATTTTCATTAAACATCATATGGCCCATCTGTGGCCCATTTAAAGACCCGATTTACATCCGATTGGAGGTTTGCCGTGTCCTCTATATTGTCTACTCACATGAAAATCCTAGTGTCATCTGCAAATGATAGAGTACTGTAGTTTGTATCCTTGTCTATGTCTGATATTAGGATAAGAAGAAGTACCAGAGTAAGTACAGTACCTTGGGGGGGACTGAGCTTTTCACAGTAGGTGATCCAGATTTTGCTGTGTTGACTATTATACTCTGCATTCTATTCATTAGGAAGTTGATGATCGATCTCCCTACTTTGCCAGTAATTCCTTTGCCATGCATTTTATGCGCAATAACACCATGATCACATTTGTCAAAAGTTTTTGCAAACCAGCTTGATGCCTGCTCGATGGGGTTCTGGGAGTTGTTCTACTCAACAAGCCCGGCCCAAAGCCAGGCTTGATTTGTGAGAGTTTGGTCCACCAGGCTGTTGCTTGGAGCAGTCCACAGGCCCACATATCCGCCACAACCCAGTTTGTCTGGCACTCTTTGAACAAATCTATCTAGTTTTCTCTTGAAGACATCCACGGTTGTTGCGGCAATATTTCTCATACTCATCGGGAGGATGTTGAACAAATGTGGACCTCTGATGTTTATACAGTGTTCTCTGATTATGCCTATTGTGCCCCTGCTTTTCACTGGTTCTATTCTGCATTTTCAAAGGCAAGGTCTGAGTATATTACATCTGTGTTTTGCTTGTCTTCCATGGCACCTGAGGTCATTGCATAGTGATCTAGCAATTGTGAGAGGCAGAAGCACCCTGTTCTGAACCTGTGTTGTCCAGGGTTATGATGATTTTGTGATTCCATGTGATTTGTAATCTTATTTTTTAACTCTCTAATATTTATATGATGTGTGAGGTTAGAGCTATTGGTCTATAATGTTTTGCATCTGCTTTACTACCACCTTTGTGAAGTCGCACAATCTTGATAAGATTGAAGTCACACTGTTGTAAGTACATCAGGGATGAAACCAGTATCTAGGCTCCATCTCCAAAAGATGTTTAAGGCCTGTGATAGTGGTGTTGTGCACTGCTTGATGAATATAGAGTTCTATGAGTCTGGGCCTGGTGCAGAGTGCATGGCAATACTCTCTATGGCAATTTCAAAGTCCAGTGGGGTTAGGGTGACATCTGATATGTGGTTTGATGTTGGCATCACATTCACGAAGAATTAATTTGTATCACTGATCTTCAATGTATTCAGGGGTTCACTGAAAACAGAATCGTACTAAAGCCTCAGAATCTTGCACATTTCTTTGCTGTCATCTGCTTAAGTTCCATCACCCTTGCACAAAGGGCCCAATGCTGGATGCAGTTTTGTTCTTGTTTTTGCATACAAAAAAAAGTATTTCGAGTTCCTCTGTTTCACTTACGGTCTTTTGCTTGCTTTGCCTCTCTTGGATATTATATGATTCTTTCAGCTTGAGCTCGATCATTTCTATTTCCCTACATAGCCTTACTCGACATTAGGATAGAGTAAAGTGTTTGAGATGTTCTGCTATTTGGTTTCTTCGCCTATAGAGGGAGCACCGTTCCGGTTCTAGTTTGCATCTTTTTCTCTTTTTTCTTAGTGGTATATGCTTTCTACATATTTCTAGTGCAACAGTGCCTATTTTCTCGAAGTACTGGTTTAAATCTGCCTTATGTAGTTGTTCTTCCCGACATTGTTCTGCAAATTCTTGGTTTATTCCTTCCCAGTTAACCAGTTTGTTATTAAATTTTGAATTTGCTGAATTCTCCTCCTCTGGGAATTGAGATTGGCTGCACAGGTCTCTTACCCATGCTTGTCTGAACTTCGATCAGGTTGTGATCTGAGTAACAAGTATTTGTAATCTTTATGTCCCTGATCAGCTCATTGTTGTTTGTAAAAATGAGGTCTAGGGTGTTTTCTCTCCTAGTTGGCTCTAGTATTTGCTGGTTTAAAGCAAATCTGCCACATCTGCAAGAGATCATTTGTGTGTGACTTCATTCAGACTGCTTCCTGGCATTCTCTCTGCTATAATAGTAATTGCCACATTTTTCCATTTTAGATGTAAGTTGAAATCACCAAGAATTTGTTTGGATCATCGATGAAAGATGATATGACCACCATTACCAAGAAAGATAATGTTACGAGCAGGGTTTGTGAGGTTTTCTAAGCAGTAGTCTGTCTTCATACATTGGTCATTAAACTGCCGAGGATTTGCTTCTGGTGATTTATATGCAAGGACAAGCACCACATTTAGAATTTCTATTTTGGTTATCAGTACTTCCACCTTATTGTTTGTGGTGTTCAGCAGCTCTGTGCAGATGAGTGTGTGTCTGATGTACAGGCTGACCCCACCCTGAAGCCTGTTTCTCCTGTCACATCTGAAAAGATTGTACTCCGATATTCATATTTCACTGTCATAATAGTCGCCCATTTATGGAGGCCTGACAGCTGAGTGGACAGCACTTCGTATTCGTAGTCCTGAGGTTCCCGGGTTCGATCCCCAGTGGAGGCGGAAACAAATGGGCAGTGTCTTTCACCCTGATGCCCCCTGTTACATCTGCTTTACTAGCTGTAAAGTATTTGTCACGTGAATCCCCTGCATATCAGTGGAACTGCCTTTCCCGTTCACCTTCAATGCCTCTGCACTGGAAGTCTACATCTACACCAGCCCAGATGAGTCATCAGTCCTGCCACCTCTCCATACCTCCCAGGGCCTGGCACGGCCTGGTACAACTCAGAGGCAAGCCGGGCGCCTCTGCTAACCGGTAGTTCGCCCCCACAAACAGGCAGTTAGCCGCCTTCAACTTGCAGTGGTGCAGCTCAACACAAAGGCACCGCCAGCCACAATAAGCAGTTTGCTAGTTGACCAGATGTGCACCATGCGTTGACACCGGATGAGTCATCACCGCCACACTATATAAAGGGCACCGCCTCCCTGGAGAGCCAGTCTCTCCCTTAGTGCTCTAGGATCACCTTTGTCTCTCTCACCCGTCGTCCACCTTCAGCCAACGTTGTGTGACTGATGCCATGGTGGTATGGTAGCTGTCTTCAGTACACCAGTATATATATTTATGATTTGTATTCATTGCTTATAGTTTATTTTTGTATTAATGTCATATTAACTTGTTCACCTTTGCATTACATGATAGCCAAGTATTTTCAGGGGCATTTATGTTCATTAATATTTCAGTAAATTGTTTAATTATTTATTTGATGATTTTCATTTGTTTCCACCTGCGACTTATACACTGCAAGGCCAATAGCAGCATTTTTTTTACTTGTGTGAGGGAGAGCCATATCCTCTTGGTTCAGTATAGCTCCGATACCACAACCCATCACACATTTATCTAGCATTTATTTATTTATTTATTTATCTAGCAGTAAATAGGTACCTGGGAGTTAGATGGCTGATACGGGCTGCTTCCTGCGGGGTGTAATTACCCAAGTGGTAGTGTGCTGCTTCCTGCGGGGTGTGTAACAAAAAGGAGGCTTGGTCGAGGACTGGGCCACGGGGACGCTAAGCCCCGAAATCATCTCAAGATAACCTCAAGATAGTCCTTAGTGAGAGTTTCAGTAGAAGCTGTGAACATTGCATTTGCCTCATTTAAGAATTGAGTTATAAAGTGGTCTTTGTTTGTATTGCTAGTTTTGATACAATGTATATACACAGAGAAATCACATTATCATGACATATCAATGAGAAAATCCACAGGAGAAGTGATAAGGGTTTGAACCTATTTGTTGGGTGTTCCTAGATGCCCGCTCTAGTTGACTACGCCACGATATGGTAAAAGAATTGCCACCTAGGGTACTACTGCCGGCGTAGTCACCTACAGCATGCATCTGGGAACACTCAGTGCATAGGTTCAAACCCTCATCACAACTACGGATTTTCTCATTGATATACCTGTATCACGATAATGTGATTTCTCTGTGTATTGAAAGAGATAGAGCCAGACGGCATGGGGATATTGTGTGAAATCCTGATTCGGCTTCAGTTTGCAATTGGTAAAAGAATTACAAACCCCAGGTTGTAATTCTTTTGCAGTCTTGGCGTAGTCGACTACAGCGTGCATCTGGGAACACCCAACACATTGGTTCTAACCCTCATCACGGCTCCTGTGGATAACTTTTATGTTGGCAAATATGGAAGATGTTGTGGTAGTTGTGTAAGAGTTGGGTATTTTTCTTGGTGTTAGTATCTGTCGTTCTGGTACGGCTGCCTCATTATCTGTGTCCTGTTTAGCATCTGACCGAGTTGACGGTACAGTTTGGACATTTGTTGCAATTCGTTTTTCTCTTTCTCTTATTTATAAAGCCACCTGGTGTGTATGGGTGTTGCTGTATTCATAATGTCATTCTTCTGATTTTATATGCCGCGTTCCTTTGATATAAAAATCTGGGCATTGTTTATTAAAACATTCCTTTTTGGTTAGCAAATTTTTACACAGTTTCGGGTGGAAGTTTTGCAGTTATCTGAGCGACACATTCCTATATTTAGGATATTTCTGCAGTTTCTTGGGTGGTTATACTTGCACGTTCCATTTGTTCTTCCTGACAGTCAATATTTACACATACCTCGTGCATGATATTGGCAGGTTCCACGTTCATATTTAGTTTGTTTGTCATGGTTTATCTACACTCTGTAATTACCTAAGTGTAATTACCTAAGTGTAGTTACCCAAGTGTAGTTACCCAAGTGTAGTTACTGGATGAGAGCTACACTCATGGTGTCCCATCTTCCCAGTACTCTTTGTCGTATAACACTTTGAAACTCCCGATAGTTTTGGCCTCCACCACCACCTCATCTTGTAACTTGTTCCAAATGTCTACCACTCTGTTTGCAACAGAATACTTTCTAATATTTTTTCGGCATCTTTGTTTCCTTAGCTTGAATGTGTGTCCTCTTGTTCGTGAAGTTGCTGGTTTGAAGAATTCCTCTTTGTCAATTTGGTCGATTCCTGTTAGTATTTTGTAAGTGGTGATCATATCACCTTTTTCTTATATCTTCTAGTTTTGGCATGTTTTTTAACGCCTGTAGTCTCTCTTCGTAACTCATGTTTCTCAGTTCTGGAAATCATTTTGTAGCATGCCATTGCAACTTTTCCAGTTTCCATATGTGCTTCTTTAGATTTGGGCACCATACAACTGCTGCATATTTAAATTTTGGTCTCACAAAAGTCATGACCTCTGTGTTGGCTCTTTGCTGACATATGTAGAAGTGGATCCTGTAGATTTGTCTCCAAATAGCTTTTCTTTTTTAGTTTTTTAGTTTAGTTTTTCTAGTAGCCATTTAGAAGCAAATTTTTGCACCCTTTCTAGTTTGAGCGTGTTTTTATAAAACTTGATATACCTCGACCAATGCTCATATGTCAAAATGCAAGGAGAATACCAGATGAACTATGCTTCACAATAAATTAAATAAATTATTTAAAACACTTGAAGATAAATACTGTAGATATTAAATATTAAAATAAGCCAAAATATGTCCATATCAAAATGATTACTTCATACCTGTATAGGTTAACTTGTTAAACTGAATTATAAACAAACAATAAAATTACGGTGACATGTACTGTATTCATTTAAAACCACTGAAGAGGCCAACATCTTTAAGACCCTTCATAATTCTGTACAAGAAAGACTATTCAAGGAATACAACTTGCATGGGAGATTTGTTTATACCTTAATTTTATCATACACATCAGCTGCCACTGAAGATGCCAGTACAGAACAGGTAATTGCCGACGAGTGAAGGGAGGCCAAGTATGGAGCAGCAAATGCAGGCCAATCTTCACTTTCCAAGTCTATAAACACAGCTTCCTCCTCTGCTAAAATTGCGAGGCAGCTTGCATGTCCTGATATGAATACAAACTTAGCATAATGATGGCATATGTATGTTGTTATTATCTGTTAGGTTTTCAGTAATGATATGCAATATTTGAGCTAACATTAAACTTGGTATGACTAATATATGATTGAAAATTACACAATGTTTGTTAAGAAGCAATATTCAAAAGCAATGAAAGAGCAATTCCATTTTAGCATAATAATTTGCAAATATATCACCCGATATTTTTATGACCAAAGATCGCCATCTCAAATGCTAAATGAAGTAATACTGCAGGTAATAAAATTTTACTAGAAAAAAAGTCCACCACCCAAGAGAATAACTTGAGAAACCTTAAAGGTATATCACAAATGAAAACTTACCAGATTCACTATCCTTCACAACAACAAAGTCTATAACTTTGGAGGTGAGGTTAAAAGTAACATGGTTGTCACCAAGTATGGCAGTCACAGTGTTGCGGTCGCCATAGCTGGCCCTCGGCATGCCACCACTAAACACAATGAAGTCACCCCTGGAAGAACAATGAGTGGTTAAGAATGCAGACTTGGATAAGTACTCTATGCAGCTTACTGATTTGCTTCTTTAAATAAAGTCATTTGATATGTCTCCTATCTTTTATAATACATCACATAATGTTGGTAAATTGAAAAAGAAGAAAAAAATACCAGCATTGAATGTAATGAATTGCCATTTCTGGGTGAGCCCCGGAGGCTCCCTGGAGCTATTGGACTAGAATGCAATCTTTAGACCAGGGCAATAGTAAATGGAGTTCTGCCTACTGGAGACCACTAGCCAGAACATGGCCCCCTCGAAGAGGCGCAGGGAGCAATGGCCCTGGAAAAACCCGTGGCTGGGGGTTAACCTTACCTGCCAACAACTGGAGTTAGGCACCCAGAAAGGTAGGCATAAGAACACAGACCCCATATGGTACTAAAAATACAACCGAAACCCGAACAGAGAGGTAGAACTCCCTCAATTCCCAAGGAAACAAGAAAACAACCCATCATCATCCCACGCCGTGGCATCGCTCTTCCGTGCAGCTCCCCCCCCCCCAATCCCTGGGAGTCACAGGAGGAGGGGGGGGGGAGCTGGATATTCAACCCCAGTTCGTTGGCTATTGCAATCCGGGGCATTCGTCATCTCTGGCCTCAGTGTCTCAAGGAGCGTTTTCCTTTGTGTCATCCTCTGTTGTTTCGTGGCGTGGTGGCCAGGTGTACCTGACGTGTACCGACTCTGCATGCGCTTAGGGCAGCCTTCAGAAAGTGCCTTGTGAGTACTACCCTTGCGCATCAGGGGTATCTTCCCTGGTGTTCGAAAACCATTTCCATAGGGGTTCTTGTTGCTCGGCTTTTACCCTGTCCTTGGAGCCAGCTGGGGTTTTCATGGCCCTTGTTTGACCTTGGGTAGGAAGCGATGTTGTTGCTGGTTGGGGCGTCTAAATGTATTGTGCAGCTTGCCTACCGACAGCAGCAGCCAGTGCCTGTTTTTCTTGGTGACGTTGCACTTTTGTAGGGTTTTTCTTTTACTTTTTGTTGTGTGTGTTTGGAGGGGGTCTGCCTGCAGTGGCTATAGGTCCACTTATGATATTTTGGTGGCCCTCTGCTAGGCCCCCGTGATTGTACACGTCGCAGGGTTTTCAGGGTTGTGATCATCCCCCTTGTTAGCTTTGGGTCTAACAGGTTAGCTGCACCTTGCCCGGGCTTCCCGTAGGAGTCAGCCTACAGGCCCAGGAAAACCTTGTCGGGGCTTGGTGGACCTATGGATGCGTCTTCCGAGTTCCAGTCCGCTTCGTGCGAGTTTGAAGGTTGCTGTGTGCCCTTGTCTCAGGGTGACAGTCACCACTTTTCCCTCCGTCACACTGCCTGTTGGATCGACACCTTTGACCCGGAGTCTTGCAAGTAGTGTTCTCTGTTTCATCTCCAATACAATTCTGATGATATTACTGTTAGGGTAAAGACAGCATCTGCATTGCATGCTCAGTTTAGGTTGCTGCAACATGCTAGGTTGGTTGCCCACCCGGATGCCCCGAGGCTGCCCCATTTTGGTTAAAAGAACCCGGACTTGGAGGCGTTAGTCGCTTTGACTTTGGTTCAGTCCGCGCTCACATATCTGTTCCCTGTTGTTCACCCTGCTCCCTTGCCCCCCTCCCCCCCCCACTTCTGGCTCACAAACATCTGAGAGGTTTCGGAGTTGGGGCAGGGTTTAGCTAGTAACGAGACTTGGCAGCTTCGGAAGCTGCCCCCACACAGGTTGAGGATGGAGCCATTCGAGCCAGTTGCTCCTGACAAGGCTTCTGGGCTTTACCAGCAGGCCCCCTTGTTTTCTGCCTTTCCCCTGGATTCTGCCTTTTCTTCAGGGGTAGTGGGTATGGAGGACTGCTGTATCCTGGGTCCCAAGTTGGGGGATCCCAGGCCTGGGGCCCTTTTGACCCTGCTTGGGAGTTAATGCCCCCTTTGAGGGGCTTGTTGCTGCAGGGAGGAGAGGTTTTCTTACCCCCCCTTCCCTGTATGATTGTGATTTGGGGTCAACTCCTTCCCAGGTTCGGTTCCGGGACCCCTTTGGTTCCTCGGCTGCTCCTTTCCGGAGGTTTTCTGTTTCTTGGATTTCCTATTGGAGGTTTGGGAGGCGCCTGCTGCATACCTCCTGTGAGACCCGGATTCTGCCTCTGTGATGAATCCGTCCTCATTTAAGTTTGGTTCTCCTTCCCCGTATCGGGTGCGTTTCGAGGTTCCAGAGTTTTCCTGGCTGGCAGATTGACTGTTCTCTTCGTTAGGGGTGTGGCATGGGTTCTGTCGGAACCCCACACTCGAATGGCGAGAAACTTCTACCGTTCCACAGGTTTACTTGGAGAGCGAGTTTCAGCACCTTAATGCATGCTAGTTTGCCCCTGTGCTTCCTCTGGATGTTGGCCTTGCACAGCTGCATGTGAGGTTCCTACCCTTTCAGCATCTTTGGTTGTTGAGGATTTGCATGCTGAGGGCATTTGGCTTCGAACTTGCACTTCTTTTCCTTTCTCGAGCTGTGTTTGGCGTGGCTTGAAGAGGATGTGGAGGCCTTCGTCTGGTGCACTGGCCTCGGTGGCTCAGGTAGAGGCCGGACTATTGAAGTTGTTTATGCCGAATCTCAAGGTGGCAGTGTCTCTGTTCTTTGCTTCTCACCTCGCGTGCTGACAGGTTGTGCTCACACACTCTTTGGAATCCACCTGGGCCCTGGCTCTTAAGTTTTCTTCGCCATTTTGTCCGTTGTTGTTTGTGGAGTCTGCAGTCATGCAGTTTCTGCAGGCGGCTTCGTCTACTTGTCGTCCCTTGTCGGACTTGTTGGTTTTCCAGGGTGGCCATTCTCGGCCTTCTTGGAAGGGTCGTACCAGGGTTCAGGGTTCCTCCGGTCGAGGTGGGCCTTTGGTGCCAGCTACTGAGCCGACGTTGCCGTCGGAGCCGGCGTCATTTGGTCGGTGCAATGATCACTCTGCTCTTCGGCCGGTTTTCATAATGGGCATCAGCCCTTTTACGATTCTCGCTGTTTAAGGGGGGGAAGGGGGGCGGCTCACTCTGTTTGCTCGTGCCTGATTCCACAATTCGTGGGCGCTTTGGGTCGTCTTCTCTGGTCTGTGGTGGCGTTGGGCAGCTCCTCCTCCTCCGGGGGGTTCGGGGCTGGCAGGGCAGGCTTCTTCCCATGCGCTCTGTCGGGTCATCTCAGAGTGATTATGCTTGGGAGTGGTCGAAACGACCCCATCCTTCAGATGGGTTTCCTGTCTGTTTCCAGTGCCGAAACAAGGCTGTGGATCTGAGGTTTATTCTCGACTTGTCCCGTCTGATCCCTAGATTCCTTGTCCATCATTTTGGATGATCTCTCTCTCTCAAGTTCAGTTTCTGTTGGAGCCAGAGGCCTAAATGGTGTCCCTGGATCTCTAGGACACTTATTGGCACGTTCCTATTCACCTGGGGTTCAGGGACTTGTTAGGTTTCGTGATGGGGCATCAGGCTTACAGCTTTCATTGCCTTCCTTTTAGCTTGAATCTGGCACCTCGCATGTTCACGCATCTTACCCAGGTCGTGGTGACCCGTCTGCGTCTGTTAGGGGTTCAGTTTCTGGCCTACCTCGACGACTAGTTGGTGTGGGCTCCCAGCCGATCTGTTCGCCAGGGGTATGGTTCTTTCCAGCTCGCCAAGTTTGGGTTCCTGGTGAGCTGGCGGAAGTCCCATCTGGTTTCGTCCCAGGTTTGGACCTGGCTGGGTCTTGTTTGGGACTCTTGGACCACTTCCATGCCTCTCCCTCTGGAGGCATTGCTATGGGTGCGATCCAGCCTTTAGCTGTTTCTGGGAGGCTCCTGGGTTACTCGGCGGTTGTTCGAGGGTTCTGAACTTCACTGTGCTGATTGACCCGCTAGGTTGGGTTTGGCTTCTGCGTCTGTTATGGTTCCTTTGGGAATGTTCCTTCCGCCTTTCTCATGATCGCTGGGTTCGTTCTTTGAGGGCTTTGCGTCGGTTGCTGCCGATAATCGGAGTTCTCTCTCTTGGGAGTATTTCCTGTTTCTAGCCCTAAGCGGTGAAAGGACGATGACCGATGAGCGAGTGTCCCAGTTTTGGAGCTAGCCTTCTTCCCCAGGCGTATGGGATTCACGCTTCTGCATCTTCGGGTTGGTTCGTCTTCCAGCTGTACGGCCACAAGCCCGGGCGTTCGCGCCCGCCACGATCCGCTCCAAGAACATTATCAGGTGGGGAGTTTGACTGGGCGGTACATCAGTCAAATGATAACGCAGCTGTCCTAAGGCCAGCTCACTGTGGACAGAAACCTCAAGTAAAGCAAAAGGCAAATGCTGGCTTGATCCTGATTTTCAGTATGAATATGGAATGCGAAAGCAAGGCCTATCGATCCTTTTGACTTTAGGAGTTTTAAGCAAGAGGTGTCAGAAAAATATCCAAGGGATAAGTGGCTTGCGGCTGCCAAGCGTACATAGCGATGTCGCTTTTTTATCCTTCGATGTCAGCGCTTCCTATCATTGAGAAGCAGAATTCACCAAGCTTCAGATTGTTCACCCACCAATAGGGAATGTGAGCTGGGTTTAGACCATCATGAGACAGGTTAGTTTTACCCTACTGTTAAACAGTGCTGTTGGAGCAGGCAGGACTGAGCAGGACTGACAGCAGTCCTGTTCAGTACGAGAGAAACGGCAGGTTTGGACAAAAGGTTTCGTTCTTGGTCCATCAAGCAGTGGAGCGAGACTACATCCATGGAATTATGCCTGAAAGTCTCTAAGGCAGAGTCCTAGCTGGAGAAGCAATGATATCATGTATGGCTGGCATTGGGATGATCAAAGACCAGAGTCTAAAGGAAAGACACCTGTGCCATTCCAGACTTCCCTCTCTCCCTCTCTTTTGGGAGGAGGGAGGCGAGGGGCAGTGTGTAATGGATCCATGTAATGGGAATCCGAGGCAGTCATGCCAAACAGTGCAGGCAACTCCATACCAAATAAGGAAATCTATAATGGTAATGTGCTGTACCAAATCGTTC